CCGATGAGTGTTTGATGAGCTGATTTTTTAGCTTTTTCCTGGTAGGAATCTGATGTCTGCCCGGGTACTCCATTCTTCTATTACATTTTGCTTTATTATATCCATTGCTTCTTTGTAGGTTCTTGCTCCAGTGCTTCGTGCTATTCCATGTATTGGTTCTCCAAGGATTTCCAGTTTACCTTCTTTGATATCCTTTATTCTGAATATTTCCGTCTTCTTTTCATTTATTTCTAGGTTCACTTTCTTCATTGATTTGCTTATTTCTTCCATTGTTTTTTCTTTATTGTCTGTAATCAGTACTATGTCATCTGCATAAGCTTTAACCATGGTGACCTTGTCTTTTATCTCCCTTAGAGCTTCATCTACAGATATAATAAACATTATTGGGCCTATGGATGAGCCTTGAGGTGTTCCTTCCGTCTCTTTTTTATACCTCCATTCTTTGTTGATGTTAGTTTTCAGCCATCTGCTGTAGGCTATGGAGCTAAGAAGCCCAAATGTCGATTCTCCACAGTGTGTTCTTATTTTTTCCATCGCTATGCCAGTATCTACTTTATCGAATGCCTTCGAGATATCCAATTTGATCAGATAATCCTTCTTTTTCATTTTGTTAATTTTCTCAATTACATCCCGTATCATTTGTTGTCTGTTTATGTCCCCCATGTACGCATATTGTATTTGGTTGTCCACCATATCGTCTATCTTGTCCAGTAATCTCTCTGATAGAATTTTATCTAAAATTTTCATTAGGTAATTTGCACCTTTTATCATTCTGGCATTTTGATTATCGGCTTTAGGGACAAACCCAATTCCTAATGTTGAGACATATTCCGGGATGTGAGAGTATTCAATTATTGTCCTTATTGTCAGTAATATTTCCGCCTTATTTTCAGCCATGAACTTTTCCCATTTGGTTTTGGTAAATTCATCAGCATCAAGACTGGATGTCTTGCTTTTAAAGTTCAGCACCATGGCAGTTTCCCTTTCCGTCATTTTTCCTTTAATATTGCTTGGTATATCCTTATAAGTTGGTTTGCCAATTGTGAAATCTCTGATTTGTGTATCCCTTGATTTAATCATGCTTTCATTCAGTTTTGTTTTCTTTACTCCAAGATATTCCTTGATATATTTCCATATTTGTTTGGATGTTTTTGCTTCTTTCAGTTTCAAGTTAATACTTTTGGATAGTTTCAGGAGTTTCTTTGTTTTATCTATCCTCATCCATTTACCATGATTGTTGGGAAAATTTATAATTTCTTTACACATCTTGATTATCACACTGTTTTTCTTCCATTTTTCTTCCACCACTTGATTGGTCCTAAAGTTTCTCTTGACCCAGTTAAGCTTCCATGAGCCTATTTTCAGAATTGTTTCCATTCCCGTGTTTCTCTTTTTAAGTACAATATTAGCAATGACAGCTTTGTGATCCGTGAGTGCCATTGTTACTATTCGTACCCACTTGATTTTTAAGTTTTTACTTGTTATGATTAAATCAAGAACACCATTTCCTTTGATGAAGGTTGCAATTCTGTCATCATTTACTACCTTCAGGTTGTTCCTGTCAATTACTCTTCTTGTGGTCTTCCCGATGATTATTGGATTGTAATTTGCTTGTTGGTAAGGACCCGACCATAGTTCATTGTATGAGTTGAAGTCCCCCATGATGATTATGCTTTTCTTTGAAAATCTCTTAATTAGTCTTTCAATTGTTTCCAATTGGTTATACGCCAGTTTTAACTGTTTTTCATTAAAATGTCTCACGTAGCAGGATATCAATATTGCATTTACCTCCTCAAGATGAACAGCTATAAGGCACTCCACGTCTGTCACAATCCTTTCATAATTGATGTCCTTTGATATGACCAGAGCCATTCTACTATTTTGAATAATACTAGATGTGGTATTAATTTCATTCACCGCTTTGTGATTCATTTCACAGATGCACAGACATGTATTCTCCTGGTATTCTGTTTGATTTATCACTCTTTTTGTAATTATACTAATACTATTAACATTTACAGTGCTAAAAAGCATGTTGATTTCCTGAAGAAAAACTTGAGATATATTATTGTAAATGTTACTTTTCAGGTGTTACTTGGTTAATCCCATGATTAAGCTTTCAGGAGATGTATGGCGGTACAATTGAATTTATAAATCTTTATTTCTATTTGGTGTTCATGCATTTTTATCCTCGATACGATTTTTATTATTATTTCGAGGTTGTACTTTCCATTCGATTATCGAAAAAAGTTTTCAATTAATCGTGAACCCACTATTTACCAATCCCTTGGATATCGGATCCTAAATAGCGTTTTAAAAGTTTTGGTTAAAAAACTCTTTACTTTCGAGTTTTTTAATTCTCAATTAGTCATTTTTTTTTTTTTTTGTCATTAATCAGTCATTAGTGACCCTTTAGCAATCGTTCCTAGAGATTTTATTCATCTCCTCATCATTTTATTCCTTCTTGCTGTTCCAACCTCACCTCTTTGTCCAGATTTGTGAATTTTATCTCCGGTTTTTATTCTCTTCCATCCAATTGTAAGTTTTATTTTACCTACTATTTCATTTTTTCAATAAGTTTCATTTGTCTTTTTTCTTCCTGTTTTATTTCCTTATCTGTTTATCTCAGTTTTACCATCATGGATTTGACTACTGATGCTATTCAGAGGATAGTATCTGGAAGATATATCCCCTCTCCCTGTTTACGGGTAATGAATATTTCCTTTATTCCTGATAGCAGTTCCCAAGGATCTCAGAGGATAAGCTGTTATCTCTCCGATGGTGATAACTTTTTTACTCCTTGTATTATTCCAGTGAAGTCTAATATCACTCTTCGTGAGGATTCTATTATCATCCTTCAGGATTATTCTTTTTATACCTCTCCTCATTTTGGAAAACCTATTATTGAGGTATACTCTTATCGATCTTTTCCTGATGTGCCCGATACTGATTCTGTACCTGACATCGATGATAACTCCTGTGTATTCGATTCCAATCCTGTGGCAATTATTTCTACACCAGAGAGACAACCTTCTCCACAAGGTGTGCCTCTTCTTTCTCAACAAGCAATCCAGTACCTGCCAATTGGCAATCCTATTCCTCAGATTTCTTCTGAATCTCCCTTAGTATCAGGAGGCTTACTTGATTTAAGTCCTAGAGTTTCCAGGAGTATGACTCCATCCAAGAGGCCTGCTTTTTCCCAAGTTCATTTTTCTCCAGCTTCTTCTCTTCTTGCTAAGAGGACTCATATTGCCCCTGAGAGGCCTATCCCAATTTTCAATTTGTCCTTCCAGTCGTCTTGGACCATCAAGGGACGCGTTACTGTCAAGGGAGCTTTGGGACCTCTCAAACATGGTGGTAACTGGTTTTATTTCGAGCTTTCCGATCTTTCCGGAACTATTAAAATTAACGCTTTTCAGGCAGAGACCGAGCGGTTTTTTGGAGTCATAAAGCTAGGTCATGTTTACGCTATTTCCAATGGAGAATTGAAGCCAGCTAAGCTTCCTTTTAACACTACTAAACATCTCCGTGAGATAACTCTCAAGCATTATAGTATTATAAGGGAAGAGTTGGATTTCCATGATGCTGATTTTCCTAACGTGCCATCCAATTTTACCAAGATATCCCATTTGAGGAATTCCCCTATTAGCTCAGTTGTGGATGTCATTGGAGTTTGTGTTTTTGTCACTCTGGTCAACAAGGGAGCTTGTCGTTCGGTTTTAATCCAGGATGACTCTTCCACAGAGATTCGTCTATCCATTTGGAATCTGTCACCGAATGATTTTAACCCACCAATTGGTTCAATTATTGTTGCCAGGAGAGCCCGACTGACCCAGCAGCATTGTGGCCTTATTTTAACTGTTGCTGGATGTGCCACGGTTGACGTAAATCCAGATCTACCTGAGGCCGTACGTCTTTTAGATTGGTTTAATAATCATGGATCTTCTACTTCTTTTACTTCATTATCCAAGGGGTTCTTTGGTGAGATATCCCTTATTAACTCATTGCCTCAATCCTTACAAGATGATGCCATTATCTATACCAATTTGGAGGTTATCATTATTTCTGGTTGTGGTTATGTCTACAAGGCTCACACTGTTTGTGGTCGACGTATAAAAATTTATCAACGTGATATCCCAGTGTGTGAGAGTTGCCTTGATACTCTTCCCCAGTTATCAGATCAACTTCTACTTACTTTGGGGATTTCCGACTCCTCCGGTTCTGTCGAGGTGTCCGTTTTTACAGATGTCGCCCTGGACCTACTATCCAAGACTACTAATGATATCCCCAATATTTCGGATGCCAGCCTTTCCTTGGCAATAGAGGGTTTTATTGGAAAAACTTTTCAGTTGTGCATTAAGTCTCGTATGACCTTTTTCCATGGTGAGCATCAGCTCCAGCATTCTGTCAAGTATTTCTCAGAGAAGGTCGCTCTTGAAGTTTAATTCTGATGTATTTGTTACTGTTTTCTACCTTTTTCATATCCCGCAATATTTCTATTATTAATCGATTCAAAGATGTCTTATTCATACCATATATCTCATATATTTCTATTTCCTGTTCATCAATAAAAAACAGTCATATTAATCTGTCCAGAATTTATTATTTTATTTATTTAATCACTTGCTTTACATTTCATTACAAGTATTTCGTTAATCTATCTTATACCTTATTTTATTCCAGGGTCCATCAGGACTTTTTTCATTTTAATCATTCATTGCTGGTATGTCACAATGTTTCGGTGGATGGTTACAGGTTTTTGGTTTCCCACATTTTCTGCAGATGGTATATTTTGCCACTATATCAAAGTACAGGATCTGTTCATTAATCTTGATTCCCTCTTTGAACGGATTCAAGTGTATTTCTTTCCTTAGGAATACAAAGTTTCTGCATTCTTTATTAAGATTTACCTTGGTATATAACCAGTAGTTGCTTTCCCCAAATCCGCATAGGTATTTCTCAAATTGATGTTGTATCTCAGCATTGTTTTTGTTTGATTGTTGAGCCAGATGGTAATCCATTATCGCCATTAACACTTTCCAACTTCTATATCCCAGGATCTCCCTGATTACTTCTTGATCATTCAATGGATTGAGTCTCAGTAATGATTTCCACTTGTTCGAGATGTTTATCCATTTGTTTTGTATATTCCGTTGGATAATGTCAGGGATGATCCAGGTGTTCTCATATATGATGATACCTATGATGATATCTTCACTCATTATTCCTGGAACATTAATCCTTTCATTTTTCACTGTAAGTGCTGTCCGGATGTTGGTTTCCAATATGTTCAGGGCTCTTGTTATTACCTCTATTTTGTTGAGATTTATGTTCCCTTTTTGTCCCATCAGAACATATATTAGAAGAATACCTTTTAAGTTGTTCGAGGTTACTCCTCTGATTGTGACCATCACCCCTGGATTATCACACTTATCGATCTTGTTGAATAATTCTGTAATTAGCTCACGATTATCTTTGGCAGTGTCACTGAATAAATCATTTGCTAGGTCTTCTTTAACAATTTTATTGATCATTTCATAGATTATTTCCATTTTGATAAAGGAAAAAATTACTTTTGGTTATACTGAGGGATTCAATTTTAGTGTGGGGAAATGTGGAAGTGAGGAAGTCTTAGTTTAGATTTGTCTTAGGTATTTCATACTAAATAAAAGTTTTCCTGTTGTTAGGGAAAGATAATTATTTTCCCCTGTCTTAATCTTCTGATTGATACAAATTTGATTTTATTGGGGGAAACTTTAGTCTAGTGGGAATGACAAAAAATTACAGAAAAAAAGACAGAAAACTCTTGATTTTCCTTCAGAAGTTTCTATCCATCATTATTGAATGATAGGTAGTATCAACAAAATCCATTTTGTTCTCGATTTCTCTTTTGAAGAGGGGGCATTCCAGTGTGAAAGTCTTATGTCCACCTTTGCAGGTTAGACATTTCCTCGGATGTACACAGCTTGTATCCTTACTATGAACTCTTGAGCAATCTAGACAATGTTTTTCATTACCACACCAACCGTGTCTTATGGACCCACATTTCCTGCACTTTCGTATTTCAAAGTGGTCACTAAGTGTGAAGCTCTTGTTCCTTATTCTTATTTCCCCATCAAGATTCTCCATAATGTAGTTCCTGATGTGAGGATGAACCTCTAGTACCAGTATTACGAATTTTGTATTACTTATGGGATGTATTGACGATAGGATAAACTTCTCTTTTTTGAACTTTTTCAAACCATTCCACTTCTTTACTTCCTCAATTAATCTCTCTGTTCCTTGAGTCAACATGCTTTCATGCACAGAGAACTTTATTTGAGGATACCGATACTTGGCAGATTCTATTTCAAGACTTTCATTTTCTTTGAGGATTTCAATCATCTTTTCTCTGTCTTGTTCTTTTTTCATTACAACTAGTGTATACGTCCTGTCTGAAAATATATTCTTTATGGCACCAAACTCTTCTTCCGTTTCATCAAGTATGCGTTCAACGCATCCTTTCTGATATCCTTTTCCTTTGATAAATATACCAAATCCTTTTGGAGTTTCGTAACTCCATGGTTTAATATGATTGTTGATAATTTTATCATCTTTTCTTGAGAACTTCGATACCTCGATGCAAAATTTTTCTTTTTTATCTCCATCTCCTTTCCACATAGCTGCTTCATTCAACTTTCTTTTCTTTGGCTCATTGGGATTTACCATCAATTGGTCTTCTCCTTCAATCTCATTTTTCCTTTTTAGAGTCAGATGTCCAGTGACCTCCATTATTGCGTCTGTCTGTTCATCAGCATTTTGATTGTGATCAGAGGTTCCATTCTCTGAGTTGTTTGTCGAGAATTCAAAGACTGGGATATCTTCACTCTCATCCTGGATTTTAGTGTCATCCAATTTGTCTTGTTTTTTCAGATTCTTTTTCCCTTTTCGCTTCGATGCTTTCTTTTCAAATGTCCATTTTGCTGCTTTTACCAGCTTGTTGATATCTTTCATAAGTTTTGGTTTTGGAATCAGGTTGGCGTTTATCGGGCTTGGATGTAATAACTCCGATGTAATTCTCTTGATTTCTCTTATTGTCTCGTCTTTATATTTAAAGATTTCTTCTTGAATCTTAGCAGTTCTGTTATTTTTGCATACTGCCTTGATGAAGTTTTCCATTTTCTGCAAGTCGATCTCCTTGATTTCCTTTTCTTTACCCAGTTCTGTCCATCCATTTACCTTCCTTAGCTTTTCTATCTTTAGTTTCAGATGATCAGGAACCTCTTTTTTATCCTCGATTTCCTGAATCAAATTGCTCATTTCCTTTCTTTTTTGCATGTCAACTGATTCAAGCGCCAAATCACTTATTTCATTGTTTTTGAATACTTCTGATAGAAAGTTCTCTATTTCTCCAAGGTGAGACATTTGGACTTTAATTTGCATTGATCTTTCGTTTTCGATGATGATAAAGTCATCTGCTGATTTGATATCCAAACCTGGTGGAGTGCCAAAGCCCCATTTCATTACCTCCAATAGTTTATTGATGTCTTGTATCAATTCGGGATTATATTCTCTTCCAGAGGCCGGATTTTTCCAGATTATTTGAATCATTGTGTTTTGGTGTTCTTTTATTACCTCCTTTGACGTATTGTCCACCAGTCTCCTGATTTCTTCATCTGTGTTTGCTTGAATAGTATCTTCCAGGAACCGACCTAATTCATCGACTTGTTCAGCCTTTGGTACTTTCTGGCAGAACTGAATCTGTATTTGTTTCAGTCCATCTTGAAGTATCTCCGGATCTTCCTCTAGTAGTATTGGACCAATTGTGTCTTCCACAATATCCAGTTGTTCAGCATTTCTTGGTACCGATTGTACTGGATTAACTTTCTTAATTTTCTTCGAGTAGGTCTTTATTTGATGTGTGGTATCTGGTAGATCACTACTACTTTCGACTTGTTCTATCGTTGTTTTGGGCACACTTTGTTCCATTGTCTTATGTTGATTTTTAGTTGTTGGCGGGAAATATCTTGACTAAAGATATTTATTCACAGGAAAGAGTTATTAATTAGTTGAGATCACTACTGTAAGTACTTATTTAGGATGTTATTACTTTAAGGATTGTTGGAAATACTTTTGTGAGTTTTTGTTTATTGACTTAGAGTATAGCTAATGATATAGTAGTTACAAATAAGTATGACTCTGCTTATTGTTAACGTTCTTACTGGATTTCCTTTTATATCTAAATGTTACTGTTGTTCTTATCTAATCTTTTTTAGACTTATGCTTCATCTCTTGTCTATTGTGCATAGTTTATCTTGTATGTCTTTGAGGATTTATTACCTCATGAATCTATTCCCCCTTTCTTTATTTTACGTCCTCTAGAGGTTATCAGATAGATCCTTGTTTTTCTTCTTGATTGATTTCTTCCATTTGAACTTCTGTCCTTAATTTAGTTTATCATTTACTGTTATCAATTATGATACTATTTGCACTGATATCTTTCAATATTAATATTATCTTTATTTCCTGTTCTTATCCCTCAGGTTTTTTATTGTATTTCCGAGATAAAGTAAATTTTTTAATCTTTTTATTTAGTAAATCATTTATTATAGAGAACGAGTTTTATCTAATTTATTTAGTTTGTTTTTTGGGCTGATGCCTCTATATGACCAATTCCACATCCAGGTCATGTTCTTTTAGGATCTCCACTACTTTCTCTCGATCCTGTTCTCTCTCCATTACCACCAGTGTATAATCTCTATTCATGGATATGTATCTGATTTCTCCAAAGTCTTTGTTCGTTTCCTCTAGTATCCTGACGACACATCCTTTCTGATATCTGGGTCCTGAGACGAGTATCTTGAATCCTTTTGGTATCCTTGTTCGTTGCTCCATTATTTAGATCTTTGTTCTGCTAAAAATAGTCGAGGTTGTATTGCTGGTATTCTCACTATTAACTATTAAAACTAGATTTTTGGCTATTGACTGTGGTATAATATTACTTGATTAAAAAATAACTTGGAAAAAACTCTAAGTCTAAGTTGTATTGACTGTTGGTTATACTTTTTATTTTCAGAGTTACAGTAAAAGTGGAGTTCAAATGATGATCTGAGAATTACTGTTCTCCCAATCCTTGTTCTCCCAATTTGTCTTTTAATATGAATAGTTGCTCACATGTGTCCCTGAGGATTTGCCTCATGAGTTCATATCTCTCAAGGTTTATTAAAGTATTCCCATTTGACATGAGATCATATTTAAATTATGAGTAAGGAAAAGGATTTTTATTTTATAGTTTTTATTCTTAGGGTAAATCTATCGATTTATCTTTTTCTTCAGAGAGATATTCCTGTCAGAACACTCTTTTTTTCTTTTATTTTCATTATACATTTCAATTATTCTCGGACATTTCTTATATTTGTTGAGATCAGACACCTTATCTTCCAGAGGATCCAAAGCCATGTTCACC